TTTGAGCAACCATCATATTGTTTTCCATAGTGGCTGCACCATTTTGTATATTTTATCTATTTTAGGGGAGGAGGGTATAGCTCAATGATAGAGCACATGCCTAGCATGCACGAGGTCATGGGTTCGATCCCCAGTACATCAGCTAAATAAAAAAAAGCAATAATAAATAAATAAATTAACCTAATTATCTCCCCCTCCAAAAAACAAAACAACAATAAAAAATAACAAATAAATAAATAAGTAAACCTAATTACCTCCTCCCTAAAAAACAAGAAAAACAAAAAAATAAAAGTATTTTATCTATTTTAAAATTGAAAAACTGAGGTTCAGAAAGATGAAGTAACTTGTGATATATAAAGTTAAAATGCAGTAGAGAAAAATTGTAAGTGTGTCTGCTGTATTAGTTCCCTAGGGCTGCCATAACAAAGTACCATAACCTGGGCAGCTTAAAATGACAGAAATTTATTCTCTCACTCTTCTGGAGGCTTAAAGTCTCAAGTCAACATGTCGGCAGAGCCATGCTCCCTCTGAAACTCAGGGCAGGATTATTCCTGGCCTCTTCCTAGCTTTTGAGGGTGTTTGTCAATCCTGTAGCTACATCACTCCAATCTCTGCCCCTTATCACGTGACACTCTCCCGGAGTGTCTTTCTCCTCATTGATAAGGACACTAGTCGTATGGGATTAATGGTCCTCCCTCCTGCAACATGACCACATTTTAATTTACATCTTAATTACATCTTCAAAGACTATTTCCACGTACGGTCACATTCCCAGGTACCAGGTGTTAGGACTTTGTAACATATCTTTGCGGGGAACATAATTCAATCCATAATATCTGTCTCCCTCCCAATTCTGTGATATTTACCACATTCTTGACCTTCTAATGTGGTATACTAGTAGACTTCCCAATAGAAAATTCTGCTTGCATTCATAGGACAGACTTTATTTGATATTGGTGGATTATTAGACTATAAGCTTGGAGGAAGGGAAATGCAATGAGTTTCTCTCATTCATCCTTTTACCTCCCAGTCATTATATAAAAACAAAAACAAAGAACCAGTGTTAGAAATGTGGTGCCTTTATGGGGAAAAATCATTAACTGAACAGTTGTTTGGGGAATTATTTAGGTGATAGTTTTCATGTTGTTCTTTTTTCCTTCTTGCCTTACCCATCTATCAATTTATTACAATTCCAAAGACGATGCAATATTATATTTCATTATTTCTTTTAGAATATTTATTTTTGTGTTGACAATCTTAGGCTGACATCAAAAATTGCATCTCAGCCTCTTTTTTCAATTAAGTATAGTTTCTTTACAATGTTGTGTTAGTTACTGGTGTACAACATAGAGATTCAGTTATACATATATATTCTTTTTCATTTTTTTCATTATAGGTTATTATAAGCTGTTGAATGTAGTTCCCTGTGCTATACAGTAGGACCTTGTTGTTTACCTGTTCTGCATATAGTAGTCTGTATCTGCTAATCCCAAATTCCCAATTTATCCCTCCCCTGTCTTTTTCATTTTGGTAACCATTTGTTTGTTTTCTATGTCTGTGAGTCTCTTTCTGTTTCTTTTTTCGTTTTTTTTTTTAATGGATGTACCAGATATTGAATCCACTACCTCGTGCATGCTAAACATGCACTCTACCACCAAGCTATTTCCCAACCCTCTCTTTCTGTTTTGTAAATAATTTCATTTGTGTCATTTTTTTTAGATTCTACATATAGATTATAGCAGATAATATTTGTTTTTCTCTATCTTACTTACTTTAGTTAGTATGATAATCTCTAGGTCCATCCATGTTGCTGCAACTGGCATTATTTCACTTTTTATGGCTAAGTAGTATTCCATTGTGTGTGTGTTTGTGCGTGTGTGTGTGTGTATCACATCTTTTTATTTTTTTATTCTTTATATATCACATCTTCTTTATCCAGTCATCTGTCTATGGGCATTTACGTTGCTTCCATGTCTTGCCTATTGTACATAGTGTTGCTGTGAACATTGGGGTGTTGTTCCTTTTTCAATTTCCTGCACATCTGGCTGTGGTTGACAGCTGTTGGGCACACCCACCAGCACGGTGCCACACCAAGAGGAAGTGTTCAATTACCACATATTGAATGAATAAATGAATGAATACAAGGTACACTGGCTCAGCAGTGCTCTGTCCCCTTTTTTCTGCTACTGTTCTGTCTTGATGATCAGTGGCTCCAAGTGAGTGGTGGCTCCTCCTCCCCCTACAGCCACTATAAGCCCCCTAGGGCCACTCTGAAAAAGCCTTGGTCCAGGCAGACCTAATAATAACCAGCCTACTTCTGCCTGAGTGGCCCCCCAACACATCCCCTTCTGGCCAAAGACCCACTTGAAATATACATCCCTTCTGGGATATACATCCCTGTGGAGAGTTCACTGCAGTTTTATTTTTAATGTCCACAGACACATCAGCTGGCTGACAAATGAGGGCAAGCCACTGTGCGTGGACTGTTGTCTGAATGCCAAGAGCAAAGGCTGTCACAACACATTTATTTCGAGACCTCAACATGTTGCCCTGTTTGCTGGGATTCCCCAGTTAGATAGGCTAGTGTTGTTAAGTGGGAAAGTCAGCCGGGATAAGCAAAATGCGCACAGTGCCTCATGCAACAGCCACCACCACCCACCCCACCCCCAATGGAATACCTTAATAACTGGCCACTGGGGGCAAGTTAAAGAAAAGACTCAGGATTTAGCCAGGAGTGTTGGTGACACTAACTTATGCTAAAAAAAAATTGCATTATTAGAAAGCTCATGTAATTGAACAAGAGGAAGGGCAGAAGTGGAGCTGAGCTTGCAAGACAATGAACACCAGGGACTGAAATTCCACCAGGACACTCTGTCCTGCACCCCTCGCCCCTGGCCTGTGTGTAGACTTCTGACTTTACATTCACTCCATTTCTTGCATATAGTAGAGGAGGGCACATGCTAGGTTTGCCCTGAAGTACATCTCCATCCATCTTCCACCAAAGGTAGGCAGGACTGCCACACATGGTCAAACATACTGTTCTCAAACTTTTTACTCTCTGCTTTGACTGTACTAAGTCATTTTTCTCATTCCTAAAATTGTTTGGCTATGTTGCTATCAATATGGTTCTGCCATTTTAGTTTCTGCTCTTGTTTATTGATTTTACTTTATTTGGATCATTTCAATTGTCCTTTTTCTCATTTTTTAAGCCCTCAGAGCCAAGAACAGACTGAGACACGTGGAATTTATCTTACATTTCAGAACCAAGTGAATCCCTCTCCCATTGCATCAATGAGATTTTCTCTTTCTTCTCTTGTGTCCACCTTTAAAGATCATCTTTTACAGGCCATGCAATGAGATGTCCTGTCCAGTTTCCAATTTCTTCACATACCAACACATACATCCGCTCCCCCATTCCCTTCCCCTACTTCAGCTTCTAAGCCTTCATCTTCCTCCCTTTTCTGAACATCTTTCTGTTCTCCCTTCCTATCTGAGGCCTTCAAACCCCAAGACACACCACCGCTGAGAAGCCACCTTAATGTGCAAACTGATGGAAGTATGACTCTACTCATAGCCACACTAGCCTCCATGCTTCTTTAGGACCCATGCTTTTTCACACTCGAGATAACAAAATTAAAGAAGAAAGTATAGTTTTCCCAGCTTGTGTCTGATGCCCAACCCTTTGTCAGGGGAGGGCGGGACACCATAATTGACATTCTCAGCAAGACTGAATTCAACAGGAAGAGTGAATGACAAAAGAAAATCAGGGACAAGGAGTAGACAGGTCAAAACTACAGCTGCCCTATCCATTTAATACTCGGATGGTAGGGAAGAAGGGAAGATGCTTGGCTGCTTGGCTGCTTGGCTGCTTGGCGGGCCAGAGTTTCAGCTCCGATCCACGAGGGGGCGCAAGGCCCCTGCTTGCGCGGGTTCCGCCCGAGGAGACGCCGCTCTAGGCCGCAGCCGGCGCTCCAACTGCATTTCTGCCGGCGCCGAACCGAGGGAGAATGGGTGCTGTATCCGTCTCTCCCCGAACTGTTCAGTAGTTTCTTTTACCAGGCCCTTTGACCCGCCGCCGGCAGTCTCGCCGCCCCACGTGAGTCACTGCGTGGTTGCGCTGCCCAGGGACCCCTGGCGGCCTCCAAGGCTGGGGCTCCGTCCGCACATCCCCGACAGGAGGGGAAACTGAGGCGGCAGGCGGCGGGGAGCTTCGGCCGCAGGTCGGCTCTGAGCCCAGGCCCGCTCCCGCGCCCGAACCGGTCTCCTCCTCCGGA